ATTAGCTTTCATGTCACTGTGCTTGCCCTTACTTTACATGTAAATTTTAATGAAAGATACAGCACTTTAAAAATCAGACATCCATCAAAAAGTGCTATTAGTCTGCCTTTTACACAGCATATGGCCTGTTCTGCTACCTCTGCATCTCTGCACACCACTGAATGCCTCAAATGAAGAAAATAGAGAAAGAAAAAAAAAGCCTTTCAATGATATCAATTAAATATTCTCTTTGGGCAGAATGGAACCTGAGCCTCATCAAAAACAGAAGACTACAATCCAGCATAAGAGGACAATATTTTACCTCCTGTTTACACACAACATGACCACAATGCCTTTAATTCTCGCAGGAATCGTTCTTCTTAATAAAAATGAAAGCCAACAAAGAATCAGCTGTTTATTCACACGTTAGATAGAAAACATAGTTTTAAAGTAAGGCAGGAAGAAAGCATGTAAAGAGAAATAAATTACCTACAAAATACTTAACACACTATTAAACATCTTATGCATACACATTATTTGTAAACATATGCTAATAGGCACAAAAAAAAATTATCAGAAACATCCTATTTAATGTCTCATTTGTCTGCCTTCATAAATATGAAGAGGTGTAAAAAGACAAATGCTTATAAAACATCTATTCCTTTGCATTAGCTGATATTTAACATCTAAGCAACTTCATTCAGCAAAGTCTGGGAAAATTCATCAGCTCTGGAATATAAAGATGAATGAGTTGCAGAAATGTCCCCTAATTTGAAATTAATCTACAATCAATCATCTCTAATTAGACTTACAAGAACTATGTTAAAATATTTGTTTCTTCCCTAAATAAAACATGAAACCAGTAACAAAAATCCACTTAAAAAAATTATTCCAGAAGAATGACATCTATATACAACGTGCCTTGACTCTATCGAAGAGGTTTTACAAATTGGATGTCGTTGTAGAGACGGACATGACACAACTGAATGGTATTAGAATGGCTCAAAAATGGCTCCTTTATTACAGAAAGGGTGTGCCTTTTATACATAGTCGAAGGTACTAGAAGAAGGTAGCGTGGCCTTTGCTTATAGGTCAAACACTTGTTTTTCACATTCTAATTGGGTAACAATTAGCAGCTTCTGGCTGGGCTCATCCCCCCGGATCTTGAGGGAGAAAGTTCCGCAAACGTGTCCAAACTCAGTGCACACAACTTCCCATCTTAAGGGTACACTGGGAATTTGTCAAGGTCAATGTCTTCAACCAATGCCAGGTTCCCAGCAGTCCAGCTGCCGTCCCCCACAATTGGACATCTGCTAGCCATAACATAAAATACTTTATTTTATAAACAGTTTTTAAGAGGAAAGTTAAAACTGAAAGTTATCATCCTTATAATAATGCAGCATTTTTTTCCCACCATAAGGAAAACAAACCCAATACCATGCATATTTTAAAAGTATTAAAGAAAGGACTGTAAAGGTGGAGACGAAAATCACACAACATCCACATTTAAAAGCCAAATTTTAAGATATTTCACAGGGCAAAGTAGAGCTTAAAAACCACTGCCAAGGCTGGCAAGATGAATTAGTGTTGTTTTTCCTCTTGTATAATTAGAGCACAAATGATTTAATTTGTTACTGATGTTTCGCTTCAACATTTGCATAAACTCTACGCCACTCAGATGGACTTATCCGTATCGCTCTGAAATCCTAATGGTATTACTGGTGAAGATGAACTCGAAATTATTTTCCAGATCAGTAAGGTCCAGTCATTTCCTTCTAGCCGTAGTCCACAAAATGCTATTTCGTTTTTTCTGTGCCATTACCTCCTAGTCAATATTATTGAACAATTCAAAGAAATAACAACCTCACACTGCTCATAGAGAGCGATGCTGCACAGTACAGGGTTAAAAGCAGTTAGGACCAAGAGAGATTATTTGATGTTGTAATGATGAGAACTACATAGGGAATTTGCCAGCACTCTTTTATCCACACAGCATGCATTAAAAAATGTCCCACCCACGAAATACATGAATACTCTTTCATTTGTCTCTGAGAATGGAGAAAAAACCCGCTCCATGTTGAAAGTTTCTGTGCAGTTGTTCATGCCAAGCACAGCTACTGATGGAAGGAAGGGGCCTGGTGCCTCAGACAAGTAGCGGCAGCCCGCAGACCGTACCGATGCTACAGGGGTGTCCTGTGCACCTCAAAACCGGCCACACCTCACTGACATTCTTTGTGTCAGAGGGGACGTTTGGGACTTTTTAGTTCTTTGGGTGAATCTTGGCCTGCCTAAATTCAGTGTGAATTTTGCCATTGCCTTCAAGAAAACACATGACTTCCACGACCCGAAAATAGCAGAGTCCCACCAGGAATACAGACAATTTCCTTTGGAGGCCTAAATCCCGACAGAAGCCAGATCCAAACTGAGAGTCATGGTAAAACAAAATCCACTACATGTATAGGAGAATGGTGAAAGATAGCATAAAGGCAAATTATCATTTCCTTAACAAAGGCTGTCAGGAGAAGAAATCACATGGAAGGACTACACATTAAGTTCAGTTCAACAGCAAATTAGAATTGGATATTTACGATCTCTTTTGGTATCATTTATTTGGAGGGGAGTGTAACAGAAATAAACTAAATATAATTGTTTCTTCATTGTCACTTGCTCTCCAGAAGAGAAGTTGTATTCAGCAATCCATGCCAAACCAAATAAAATTCCTCCCCACTCATCATACATTTACATCATCTCCATGGCCAGTTCCATATGCCTAATAAAAACACAAACAATATTTATGTACTCAGTTAGGTTAAAATACTCGGTTCAGATTAAAATGCAAGGGGTACCCAGATGCTTTCTGTATCTCAACTACTCCAGCCACTGCCTCAGAACACCTAAACTTCCAGCACAGCTTTCCTGAAACTTGTTCAAAAAAACGTAAAATCTTTTTAAAATGGATAGATGCAAAAGAAGCCTGTTTACCACAGTGGAAGCAACTAATGAAAGACTTGTTTCAAACAATAAATGCACAGTCACAGACTGCTATACATTATGAAGAAGTTTTATGAAATCAAAACACTGTGTGCTTTGACCAGGTATGTGGCACAAGGCAGAGTGGCTGCTAGCTTTTACTGGAAACTATGAGAATCCAAAGAAAATATGAACTTTCCAGGTACAATCATGAAGGCAACTGGTACCACCTTCTCTGTGAGCTGGAGGACATGTGTGGATTCAAAATTAGACTGCTTGGGCCCTCTGAAGGTAACACCATTTTTCATATAGAGTGATGATTCTCTGATGAAGTCACTTGCTGTAACTGAGGTAAAAACTGCACATAGCTAGGAAATGAAACTATATTTTCACTCAGTGACATAATAAATTAAGTTTCAGAGCATATAAATTAATTGTGGACTATATGTTATAATCCTTATTTCTACAGGCTCAACCAGGAGTTTTGCTTCAGAAAGACTTTCAGTTTAGTCCTACACAGACTGGCCTGCAGCACAAATGCCAGCTGAGAAAAGAAGGGAGCAACATGAGCTAACATCACGCCATACAAGACTCGCCCTGATCCACGACAACCCTTAAATCACAGAAAGCCATCCATCAGCTAACTCAATTACTGGCAGCTGCGTTGAGGCACAGTAACATTTCGTATGGTATGCTTAGAGCTTTAGGTTCTCACATTTTTTACAGTATGTATATGCAGTTATTATGTTCTGATGTTCACCTCTTGCAGGGAGGATAGTTCTGAGTACCACCCACTGTATCATCCTTTACCACCCAACTTTGGATAGAATAGAAAAGCAATGAAATTAATTAGCGGAATATTTTTTCAACCTCAGACCAGAACAAATAATATTTACTATGTGATGCATCCCACCATGGAGAATACAACAATTCAAACTTATTTGAAGAAGGTAGGGCATCAGAAAGAGGAATCCTACAAAGAGAAAGTGTTTAATATGCCACCGTGCTCCACAGAATTCACGAATTACAGGATGAGTGATCACTGGGCAGAGACTGCTTACGCCTCAAAGGAAAGTTATTACAAACAAATTCACTGAGCTCTCATATCCTCTCAAATTCATAGTAGCACAATTAGTCATTTCATCCCACAATGTCTTATTGGCATGGACACACCCAACATCCTCCAATGTGTTCAAATCACGCTGATCAATAAATCAGATTCTTCAGGAGTGTATTTGTTGAAAAGGAGTAAGCCTCAGCGTAATAAAACCTTTTAATCTCTCCATCTCATTGGAAAATAGGACAAAGAAATGGATTTTCCTTGAGCAGTGCTTGTAATTTATCAATTAATCTTCAACCTTCCCTCCAGTCCAACTGGCAACACACAGCAGGTTTGCAGCATTTTGCCTTTTTGACAGTTTTGATTAGGGATGGATGACTGCCCTCTGCATGCTAAAGATAGGTGTGAACTGCTGAAGAGCAAGCTGGAGCCTCAGCACAGCCTTACGTGCCCCGCGCTGTACCGAGCAGCAAAGGAATGGACCGCTCTGTTTAGCAGTGCTGACCACTTCTGCTTTCTCTGCAGCTCAGCTTCTCTTTGAAGAAGATCTTTACACTAACAGAGAAAATGAGAAGTACAGCTGGAGGTAGAAAGGATAGTTCAAATGGGCTCCGTCACTAAAGGATGACAACACAAGTGCCAAAATCCCCAGCAGTGGCACCACTGCAGCGCAAGAGAGCTGGCAGTGCCAGCTCACCGGCCTCCAGCTGTCTTGGCTGAACTGGCCGTCCCTCTGCCCCCCGTGTCACCAGCTACAGACAGCCTGGACACGCCACAGCCCTTACTTAGTGTGAAGAGGGAGAAAATAACACCTGTTAAAAAGGCCTCAAATAACTATTTCTTCCATAATTCAGTGCAAAAGGTTGTTAAGAGACTTTTAACAGCAAAGGCAATAAGTTCCAATATGAACCACATTCATAAAAACACAATCTGTCCGTCGACAAACAAAATTGTACAAGCAATGAAGTCTCAGAAAGAATGTAATCTCTACCTTTACTTCTACCTACAGACAGGAAGGTGTGCGTCCAGTTAAGAGGAGGAACAAGAGGGGTGTCCATCACGGAGGAGGCAAAAGAGAAGAGAAGGAGGAAGCACAAAAACCAGAAAATTATGTCACTAGCCACAAAAACAAGAATATGAGCATATTTATGTAGCAGCCAAACCCAACAAAGCACAATGCCAAGGAGAAAACGAGACACACCACAACTAAAGCACAAAGCAAGGCTTAAACAACTGACAGTGCAACCAGCAACTGCCTGGTTAAGCCCTTTGGGTTTAATTTGATTTTCTACTGAGAAATGCAAACCCCTCGTGCAATAGCATGCCAGTTGATATGCCTCATTCCACATCAAATTCAAAACAGCAAGAGAAACAACAGAGTAGGACAGGAAAAAAAATAATTTCATGGTAATATACTTGCTAAACACATTTCACCTACCAGACCTAATGTATTTGTATATAATGTTGACATTGCATATTTACTCACATATATACATTTACATATTTTATATCCATCATATTTTTATAGAGAGTAAATATTTATCAGAAGGGAATATCTGTGAGTTGGTTGGCAAGAAAAGAGAAGCCACTGTTCCCTGATGCGTCATGGATAAATAAGGTTGCCAGAAGCCAATAGTTCTCACATCTTTTTGCCAGGCAAGGGAGTATAGAAAGGGTTGATGACAATCATACAGGCCTGAACAGGTCATGCAAGTCTTCATGAGCCATCTGGGTTGCAACTTGTAATTTAAATGGCCAAATGCATCTGTTTATACAATCCAGTGCTAAATCACAGACTGCTGCGAAGATATGTTCAGTGCTATTGAGACTGACAGTGGCCATGAAAGTTCACTGTCCTGATCACTCCCAACACGCCATCACCGTTCCTCTGCCAACAGCTTGTCATACTCAGCTGCATCCTGAGCAACTAGCACGTGCTGAAGGGACCTGTCTGCTCCTTCAGCAAGCACGACCTCTGAGCTATGAGCCCAGCTGAACAGAAAGTGGGGACAGAGAGGGAGCTCAATGCTTCCCAGGGCTTAGTCAGGTGGTCCACATGCCAGATACCTTGAGTGTCAGCATGCACTTCTAAAGAGCCCTATTTTCCTACCTTTCTCACCACATAGGGATGCTAAGCACTACAGAAACTGAAAAGTGAGCCCCAACTTCACTTCTGATTGTTTCCTAAGCTTTCATGACCTCAGAGCAAATATCTGCCTTGGACTACAGAATAAAAACTGATTATGTCCTAAGCCTCTCTACATTTCACTGATACACATAGAAACCATGTCTCTTTTATTCAAGCACCTAACTACTCTTAAGACTTCACATGCACTAAATTCTATCTTATTAACTCTTTGGACTGTCTAAACTCAGATAACATGTTTATTTAATGGCAAAAACACTATGGTGTACATAGCCTAGGAAAGTGTCATCAGGCTTTAGAGTCAAAACCAGCCTGTCTCCCCAGAGACAAACAGCTGGTTTGGTCTTTCTAGTGCACCATGTGCACACAACCCTGGATTAAGTCTTCAACCATTTCACTCCTGCTTTTGCAAGACTAGAATGCATCGGCAGCACTGCAAACTCCTCCCTGTGTTATTCATGTCAGCAAGACGCTGACACTGTCAGAGAAAAACAGAATCACCCCTCTCCTCACGAGCTTCTTGCTACACACCCCCATAACATGAAATGGGACTAATGATTGCATTGTGTCACAGCCAACAGACCTATAACAGAATCCAGGCTGAGACATTAAAATGTGAACTCTGATACAGGCCTAGATCCCATTTGTAGCCCAGTCTGGGGTTAGCCCTACTCTTTTTCTAAATCATTTTTCTCGTGCATATTTGAATATTTTAAATTACAGACACAGGACTTACAGGCCATTATATGCAATTTTCCTCAGGATTCATAATCAGTTAAGATCATGCCATGAGGGCTATTAACATATTTTTTGTAGTAATTGCACTCTTAAAAATAAAGACCGACATTGAGGTCTACATTTACCAGGCAGAAGTAGAAGTCATTACAGCTGGCACAACAAAAAATGGCAAAATAAAATAGCTGGTGGGGTGCATGGAAGGGGGAAGCATACCTCTTTACTGCCCATGGAATCATTTCATGCTCCCTTCTGGGCACCTGAGTCCCGGGCTGACAATTAGCCGTGGCTCATGGGACACAGAGGCAAAAATGCAAATGGTTGACTGACACCCAGTAGGCTTAATTGCTTTTGTCATGCAAAGCTCACATCAGAAAAACAGAAGCGACAAAGCTCTTTCATGATCAGTGACTGAAACAAAGAGAAAGTCAAAGGACTTACCTTGTTCACCCATCATCAGATGTGAGAGGCCTCTGGAAAAGAGAGAGAGAGAGAGAGAGAGAGAGGAAGTAAGAAAAAAGACAAAAACAGAAAAAGAAGTGGCAATATCCATGCACAATAGTTGCAGTCCAGTACCTCTCAGGATTTGAGCTCTCATACTTGAACTAGACCAAGTATGGATGTAGAACACAGGGCACACACATATTCAGGTGCTGTTTTCCACACCAAGCTGGAAAGCATTTGTCACAGGTAGGAAAAAACCTCCTGGTAGCTGCAGAACTGTATTTGAGGTTCATCATATTCCCTGGGGAATGATTTCAGAGGCACTTCACACCAGTACTGCTAAATGGGCTAGGAAAATCAAGGTCTGCAATCGGGCTCTGCAAGGAGCATTCACCCCTCTGGAGAGCTATAGAAGTAACTTCTCCTCAGCTAAAGATTTAAAATTCACGGCTGCAGTGGTCAGTGAAAGGGAGGCCATGATCCCACCACATCTGCTTCAGACAAAACATCTGGGCTAAATACATAAACACATAGACAAAGCTATCCTGATTCTTGAACATGGTGGCACCAGTATGTACTTCTAAGAGTTGATAAACACTGCTCACATTTAGACATCAGCATATCAAACCTGGCAAGGACTAAAAAAATTCCCCGTAACCTATTTTTAATACTACTACATTTCCTTTCTGGGAAGAAATGGAGATTTGACTTCTGAGGGAAGTGTATTACTTTATGGGTCTATAGGCAAAGCTATTTCTTGGCTCCATAATTCAGGGTAAAGCAAGAAAGCAGCACAGCTACCCCTAGCAGTCACAGCCACTGTCAGCTCTCTAGATGGGGCTGTGAGGGGCTCCAGTCTCTGTCCAGTAACTCTTTCTGGCATAAACCTTGCTTGTTTCAATTAAAATCCATTTCTAGTCCCAATTTTTAAATGTGTTGACTGGACAGCTATATTTATACAAATACCATTTTGATATTATTGTATATATTCATGCCCAAACCATGACCCATTAGTCAATTTTGTGACACATGATATCACAGAACTAACATAACAAAAATCAAGTTCTACCCACTCAAGCCATGAGTGACCCCTTTTGTACTTGGTTCATCATAACAACTTTACCAAGTGCTGAACATTAATCATCATAGAATGGCCTAAGCTGGAAGGGACCTTAGAGATCATTTTAATCCAGCCTCCCTGCCGCCAGGGACGCCACCTCTTGACTAGATCAGGCAACACATGGGGACCGAACGGGAATCGAACCCGCGACCTTAGCGTTGTTAGCGCCACGCTCAACTGACTGAGCTAACCGGTTCCCTGACCTTCTTCCCTTAGCTTGATTCCTCCTCCCCATCTCCTACCTCTCACAGCACTTAGTATGCCAGGGATTTGTATACACACATACGCGCTATCTTAAGTCAGTTTATTAATCATACAGGGATGTGACTTTTTTAATTTCACGGAGGCTGAGAGGTCAAATGAACTTAATAGAATGAGAATTTTCAACAAGCAGCATGCTGAGTTTGAATTTGTTTATTTCACTCTCTTTTATATTTTTCCTTTACGTCTGTTGGAGAAATCTAAAATCCAGATCATCCCAAGAATATGTTCACCCACAGAGAACTCCAAGTCAGATAAGGGGATTAATAATTGTACAGTCTAAGGAATGCAAATATCTTAATGTTCTTGAAGATTATTGTGGATTTAGAAACACAACATAGGTTTAGAATTTTTTAGTTTGTTTTTTTTTAACTAGACATAAATATAGCAGATTTGATACTGTAGGACATATTTCTAGTCTAAATTGCAAGATATAATTTCACCAAATCGTTATGCTCTGCTAGTAGAGTGGGTTGAATCTGTGTCTCTATGGCCACTGACCCCATCATTCTCAAGAGGCAATTCTTAGGTCTGACCAAATGGGCACTTGAAAGTCACTGTAAATGGCACTGTAAAAGATGAGAAGACAAAAATGTAGTTGTTAGGACCTACAAAACAAAGAGACCCTGTAACACTGGAAAGCCAGAAGGTGACAGTATGATTCGCAGCTGCAGTTGGCCAAACGAGGGGGAGCATCAGAACCAGAGCAGACAGGGGTTCCTAGCCCTCAGCTCTTGGGAGGAAGGAAAACCATGGCTAAGAGGCACAGCACCAACAGATGCAGCTACTGGAGATGGCAAGAGGCGTGTCCACTTGGGGAGACAGGACACCGACAAAGAGAAACCTCCAGACAAAGTTCAAAGCAAGAGCCTACATTAAACACCCTGAATGCTGGAAGGCCAATGCTGTGTGCCCTGTCATTCAGGTGCATCAGCCAGATGCAGTTCAGAGCCCTTTGCCTGCAATCCAGTGGTGAGTGCACCTCCAGACGTACCCACTATTCTGACCCCTGGTTTGGCCTTTGTTCAAAAGCCTGCAAAAGAAAGTCTCACTAAGAAACGTTCTGACTTTCTGCTTCTTGGCAAAATTGAAATATAACAGCAGGTTTTGATCTTCCAGTCCCAACTGGACAATGGAAGTAGGAAGATTAATGAAAAATAAAGCCCCATTCCCCCACAAGAAGAAAAAGGAGGATGGACTTGGAGATATATAGCAAAAAAAAAAATTTACCTCTGAAGTTGCCCATCAGCATGGATCCTTATTTTAACAAAGAGAACAAATAGAATTCCAGATTCATTACTACATTGAATAATATAAATAATGAAATAACATATCAGCTTTTCTCATCTGAAAATTTTCCTCCCTTGCAATTGCAAGTAGGAGTGAAAATGGGTGTATTTATCTCCAGCAAAATGTCATTAACAACCAAAACCTTCAACCACTGAGATCTAAAATCTGTGACATTTGCAGCATGTCTAACAAAGGCCCCAAATTAGTCACAGAAAAATCAACACAGAAAACATGAACTGACATCATTGTCTCACCTTTACATCAGTTTCAAGACAAGACACTAAAATAATTTTCAAATCATAAAAGTCAAAGTCATCTCAAGGTGGCATGGAGTGGCGCTTGCTACTGGACTACAATAAACTAATAGGGCATCCCACAAACCAATGCAAGAGGTCTGAGAATTGTTTAGACCTGCAAACTAGCCCTGATTTTACAAGAATGGGGGGACATCTACCATCATAGTATTTGGCTATCAACCATAAAGGTTAGCAAAGATTTTAGCAGGTTCAGGATGCCAAATAATCTCATCAGGCCACAAAGTACGTTATTCACACATACAACAATTGCTTGTGCCAATAGCTATCCCATTCCAGGGGAATCCTGTAAGAAAATCTGAGTCTCACCTAAATCCGAGTGAAAGATCTGTTCCTTTTAATCTTCTATTTGCTCAACAAGAACCTCTGATTAAAGCCTCAAGGCTGCAAGTCCAGCCAGTATAGAACTGGCATGGGCATCGTGCATGGGTCACAATGGTGAAGGGAATATGTGCTTTATCTAAACCAATTTAGGAATTCCTGTAATAATCTACTGGCTGGGCACAACTGCTGCCCAATGAAAATGGCGGGTAGCAAGTGCTCTGGAAAAGGTTTAGGAAAACCTCAGAATAAATAGCTTATCTGCCTGCAAAGAAATTTTATGTCAAAGTCAGGAATCCGGTGACTTGCTATTGCTCAACTTCAAACATGACTGACAGTAAAGACAAGGACTTGGCTTCAGAAGGCAGCTCTCAACACATTTCTTAGATAAAGATAAGCATCTGCTTGTGCTCAGCCTCTGGAGCCCCAGCTTCTTCAGACTTTCAGCAATAATGTGAAGAGAAAGTGGCCTACTTCTTCAGAACACTGGTTTGTTATTAAAATAACATGTCCACTGCTGAGGGCTGACAGACATACAAACCCTGCTCTCTGGCCATGATTTATGCCTGCCACAACTGACTCTTCCTATTTAGGTCTGGGAGGTTTTTTGATATTTCTTTAACCTACCACCAAATCAGTATTATTTTCTTTAAGGATAATAGTAATCTCCCTTGATCTCAAAGTAACATTTCAAAGAACCACATTTTTTAAAAAAAACTGTGAACCATCTGCTTTCTATATTATAACAGTAATATTAAGTGGCTCTAATTGCACAAAGTATAAAGGGCCACCACTGGATTCTTATGAAGCCAGAAGGACATTTTTAAAAGTAGCTTCAGAGTACGATGATACGAAAGAGCAATGTAGTTGAACAGTAGTCTTCATCTTTAAGGATTTACCAGGGGCAATTTTCAGGGTTGGGGACAAAATGAAGGAAACCTTGGAGGTGGTTTGAACCTCGCTCCCACCACCTCACCCCCCTCTCCAGCACCACATTTGGGTATCTGGTACTTAAAATGGAAAAATTAAGCCGCAAAACCTAAAAAGGTGTGGAGAGCACAAAACACAGCTGAGAGTGACAACTGATTGCAGCAACAAAAGAAGATGGACTCCTTCATCGAGTTAATTATAGCTTGTGCTGTGTTACTGTGCCCATGCTCTGGGGGTGCACACGTGTGCGTGGGTGTGCGTGCACTGCTGAATTGCTCTGTTAAGGCAGGCAGCCTCAGTATTTCCCTTTTAATGATGCTGCCAGATGATTAGCCCAAAAGCTCTTAATGAATGGGAAGAGAGACTGCCACGGAGCAGCGACAGCCCAGCTCTCCCCAGGGGCAGGCTTGCCCACAGAAGATCCTTTCCAGGGTATCAGGCTCTATGACCCATTCAAGCAATAACACAGCCAGCTGCAATGTACGTCTGAGGCAGGACATCGTGCCCTCTGGTCCAGATACACATGCAAATACTTTACAGCAGAACTGGAGAAAGAAATCATGCAAACTGAGATTCTTCCAAAAATAAAATTACATCTACTATAGAGAAGAGCACTCTGATGGAGTGTGTTGTTTACATCTCCTTTGCAAATTTCCTAAGACTAGTAATTCATTAATAAATAGGCTTTTTTCTCCTCTGAGTCGCCTCCCCAGCTCCATCTGCAGTTCCCTTTTCTAGGAGAGCTGACATGGCCCTCGTCTTCCATGTGGTTCTTCTTAAAATAGACATCTTCAGGTTTTCTAAAATCTAAAGACCAAAGAAGACTCCCTACAAGTCCTCATGTACCAAAAAGAGGGCATTCCAGCAGGGCCAAAGGATGGGAGTCAGAGGGAGAAGCAAAACCCTTGTCTTGAGAGATGTGAAGAATGCATGAAGAGGAAAAATCATTCAGAGGCCTAGTTCAGACCTTTTACCTGCTAAACAGGTCAGATTTGCCAAGAGGATGACCTGATTCTTTGGCTGCTGGCATACATGGTGACAGGTTTTTCTCCTATCTGGGCAAAGCAGTAGCAGGGGCTAGGGAGCAGTCGTTTTTGTTTGATTCAACCATGCTACACACAACAGCCACAGGGCTCCTTGCAGGCCCCAGCAGTGAGGCCAGCCGGGAGTGCAGTTCTGTTATTGTAGCCGGAGGCCCACTTCCAATCCAATTACCCACAACAGCTGTGCTAGCTCCATCCCCTTTGCTTCCTCTGCTCTGTAATTCCAGGATACGTTTTGTCATTATCGGGGGCAGTGAGTCAGGGTGAGTAGCACCTACTCTGAGTGATCAAAGGAATAAGAGGATAAGGTAGAAGCCAAAGAGAAAGTCATTTTCCCCGAGATCTACGGGCAGAAACAGTATTGTAACACTGCATGTGTCATATTCCTAGAAGTATTCACACAGAGGGCTGCAAACATGGTGGCATTTGAAAGCATGAAAATAAACACGCAACACACATAAGAGAACGTGTGCAGGTAGCAAGACTTGAGGGTGCATGAATTTTATGCCTGACCCATAAGAAGACGTGTGTCACTGCAAATCAGGGCACCTAATCAAGTAGATGCACAAGTTGGGAAAAGAACTGTGAATGGCATGGAACAGAATTCTTCAGCTTGCAAAAGACATTTCTGACAATGTGTATGGAGATAAAATCCCAAATAATACGGAGCAGGTAAACATTTTTTCCTCTGTTTGTCAGAACACAAGGAATAGGAGACACTGAATAAACTTCTCAAGTAACACATGTAAGAACAAGTGTAGGAAAGTACTTTCTGCATTTGAATGACTAAACCATGGGACTTGTCACAGGATACTGTGGAGTTAAATATAAGTGGATTAAGAAAACTGAAGACTAGACACATCCAGAGAAAATACATCCATCAATGACCACACCATCACGATGCAATATCAGGTCCAAAAGTCCTTAAAGAGTGTTTACCCAAAGCCACAAAAGTATATCAAGGACAAGACCAATGCTAACATAGTATGTGGAACTTTTTCCAAAACACCTACTTGCATAAAAAGATACTTCTGGGCTGGATGAATTCTTGCTCTGATTGCAGCAATCACTACTGCCACATTGTTGCAAATAGTTGTGCATGGAGCTGAAAAACATTGACATTTCAGTGCAAGAGAATCCATTTTGGGGACAGTGCCTGAGTGCAAAGGGCACATAAGAATGAAAATGACAGCACCTGTGAAGAAAAGTGTAAGCCTGGGCAAACTGGATCCAAACACCTGTGCGAGTGGCAATGAAGATACAGCATGGGTGAATTCTTACTCTGTCCTAGTACGTTCTGCAAATAGGAAACTTCAGATGGGCTGAAACACAATTCACATATTTTTGTGCCCAAAAAAAGAGTTCAGCTTCAAGGAAGCAGATACCAGCATTCAGGTACTGCTTAAATGACCCTATGACATGGAGTTAGGGAGACAGACTAAAACAGTAGCCCTGAGATTTTAAAAGATGGAATTTCAAAGATTAAAGATTGGATCAAAAAATTGCTAGTATGCTTGTGCCTCCAAGGATCTCTGTATCCTTATGAAGGAGTTGTTCAGGCAAACAAAGACTAATTTTTCCTCTGGGTCCCAAGTAACTAGGTCATTTCTAGTGGGTTGCATGCAACTCTAGTCAGCAGTAAAATCATGACAGCAAAATGCCCAGAACATCATCTCTTTATCCTCCTCCCTATGAACATCTGAAGATCTCTCCCACAAAGGGGATAAGCATGGATAAGCACTATTTAAACTTCAACACGCCATAGGTATCAGTACCAGTCACTATAATATCAAGGACTCATACTTAGTTCTTTCTGCTGCATATATTCTTTCACTAAAGAAAAAAAAAAAAGGTGAAACAGAGGCATATTGCTTGCTCCTTGATCTACCGGTCTTCTCCCAGCTGTTCTTCTTTCAGAATCTAAACCACTGGCAGAGAATATAAAGTGCAAAGAAAGAGGAAGATACTGTGCAGAGGTGAAAGAGGCATCCACTCTGGTCTGTGCTGCACACTACTCCCCTGCCGAAGCATTTAACCTCTGTAATAAGGCTCTTAACCTTCATAATGTTCAGCCCAAGATCTCTAAGCATGCCTGTGAAGGTGAGATGAGGCTGTAGCTATGACCTCAAAGGGGAAACTGAAGGACTAAAAGTGATCATTTCTCCTCTATACAACACAGTGAATCAGTGACCCAGCCAAGTACAGAGAGCAACAGTCCCAAATCCAATGCCCTGGTCTACATACAGGGTTTTGTTTTGTAACAGTGGACGTAATATTTGAAGAGCAGATGGGCTAACATCTGACAAACTCCTTTCATTTGTGATATAAGCCAGATGGGGTCTTCAGCTGGCTCTTCAAAGGTGTAGCGTAGCAGCACCCCTTCCTCACAAGCAGAGAGCTCGAAGCCAGGGAAGGCTCATACTACATATTTCTGTTTACTTTGAAAGACCAACTTCTTTGCATCTTGCAGGAACCGTGCCCAGCAGAGCTTTGTGGTCCCCACTGCTGCCAGCCCCAGCCTGTTCAGAGCTACTTTCTCTTACTGGGGAATTACTTCTAACCAGTCTATTCAACAATAAAAAATACTCAGTTAATCAATGGGCTCTTTACAGCCCTTCTGCTGCCTGTGGGTAAATAGTTACCACCAGCTCATAAAATCCCTAATTTGTCTTGCAAACAGTGGATGGTTAAAGGAACCAGGGCCCAGGGGCTCTGTCCTCTCAATACAGATAGCTGGATGGCCAAATAGGAAGAAAGCCTCTGCACAGAGGAGAAGTACATAGCTAAACCCTCCTGGTGGTCCACATCGTTGCGCAGTCATGCAGCAATGCCAGTGTCCTCCCCAGGGGAAGCTGGGCGGAGTGATTAGACTGCCTAGGAATAAACAGTTACAGAGCCCAATAATGAGGTAGGGGTAACTGTCAGGCTGAAAACATACAAATGAGTGCAAGATGGAAAGAGCATTCACATGTGACTAGAAATCCACATGAGAAAGCACACAGCAGTCCTGAGAACAAGAACACATGTATGAGCAGTGGGGAGAATAAAAAAAACCCCACATCCAACCACATAAATTATAATAAGAGGGCTGCAGGGCAGAAGAGCCCATTCAGAAAGGAGAAGGATAGACCACTCCAGCGTGCCCACAGTAACAGCAGCATGGTCCTGCCACCTGCGCTTAGGCCCCTAAGAGATGCCATCATCCCCTGCACACTGTGCAGGCCTTGGAGATGACTCTGATGTTGCTTGAGGCAGCACTCACTCATGGCATAATGTCATGAGTCCTACTGGTAGAGCACAGCAAGGCCTTGCCCTCCCAATTCAACCATCTTCCTCTACCACATGAACAGCTTCAGGATGTGGTGGAGAGACTTGTGACCCCAAGCCCTGGTGCCTGTCCTGTCAGATTGTGCCAAAATGAGAAGAGACAGGAGTTCCTGGACACCTCAGACTGGGCTGAGAAGGTACATGTTCAGCCCCATGGGTCACTGAAAAGATTTACTGTTATGGTTCACAGAGCCTTTCTTTCCACAACATGCCAGGCAACATTTGCCGTTTGGCTACTTCCATCCTCATTGTCGCCAGCTGAGATGCACACAGCATGCAAAAGACATCAGCAGGGGCTGATGGACATCAAAAAGGGGCTGATGAGAGAAGCCAAAAAGCTGGATATGCACGGAGATTATGTGAGCGTTGGGCTATCGCTGCGTCTCTGTGAAATGTTTCACAAAATATGATTATCCAAGTGTAGAAAAGAAGCAAATCTAATGAAGAACTCATTCCAGGTCCAGGCCAGGTTTAGCAAAAGTTATGCAGAAAGCTGAGAAGGAAAATAGCCTCGACTCTCCCATCATCCCATTCCAGCCAGAACAATGCCAGCTGCTTACCTCAGCTCTCATTTCCATTTCACATAATGATAAACCAGGTGGAGCTGCCTGAGTGTGAGGTAAAAATTAGTTTCTTAGGCATCAGTGGCAACAGGATGTGGACTACAGCATAAGGTGGTCTAGTTTGATTAACCCTTGTAGCTGAATTTGGGGGATTCAGATCCTTTCAGCAATGCAAGCACAAGCTGTGGATGGAGGTTTGGAGTTCTCTGTGGTAAAATACTTCCTTGGGGAAAAACTCCTCAAACAAACAACTGCATAAAACACACTTTCTTTTCTCCTTTTAAATGAATCATTTGCACCCTGTCAAGAATTAAACTTTCGATACCTAAATAAGATCACACATTCACACTTGGCCAGAAAGATACTCACTGATTTTAAAAACCTAAAATATAACAACAACAAAAACCCTTGTGTTAGTGGACGTGAAAGTGAACAGCTTATCAATAGGACTAGCAAATGGAGCAGGCTGCAGTAGGAGACAAAAATAACTGAACTAGATTTGTATGCCAGACTACACACAGATGTATCAGAAATAAACTGTATGTAATGCAATGTTCAATGCCAGGTAATTAGCAATACAAGCAACTATTTTTAATGTAATTTTCATTCAGAAGACATCCCTTTAACTGACCAACACAACGTAATCTCTGAGGCGGGAAGTTTGTGACCTTTGCTACTACAAAGCTTTCCTTTTAGCAAAGACTTTGCAATCCAGACGCTGTGATGTCCAGTATGAAAACTTGTTCTGTATGCTCTCAGGAAGCAGGGTGAGATTTCTGCCCCTGATAACCGCCCATCACCACTTCTTAAAGAGCAGCCTTTCATCTCAGCAAAAGCAACACTTACCTGGAATATGATTGACATCTGTTGAGGTGTTTTCATGGCAAGCAGAAGGGAGAAAAGGAAAAGAGAGAGAGAGAAGAGAAAAAAGCCATTAGAGATGCACACACAATTTGGCATCCTTGCATGGAAATCAATTTCATGCAAAACCAGAAGTAATTAGGTTTCTTTGAAGGCCACCCATCTGCAGCCAAGCACCCAGCCATGCAAGGGAGGAGACACTGGCTCCCGCTCCGCTGTGCATGTAAAAGTGAATCCACCATCATATCTGTCCGGAGAGAGAGTTCCTGGAATCAGATAGAACCAAGCCACGTCAGTTGCTGTAAGAATATTGGTTAAAATATTGTGCTGTTTTTCACACACAAATGCAAAAGGAAGGAAGAAAAAACAACCTGCCTGCTGTAGGTTTCTTTTGCACATAAATTCAAGCAAGTTTTCAGAAAAAAGAAAAGAACCTGCTCCCCTTTTATGAGGGGCCATGTGAATTTATGACCAGCTGCAAGACACTCAACATAGTCCCAAAGTCTAGAAGAGACCCCATTCCTTTTCATTCCTCCTGCCCATCATTCACAAAACAACATCCTTCATTGCAGACAGCAGCAGGGGTGAGGGAGGAGGGGCAGAGGTTTCCATGTCCCACATGTTGTCTTTTTCAAAAGATGTTGAATTCTTACCAAATGTCATTCAGCACTTTCTTTGTGACACAAGATTGTGTTTTCAGAATCAGTCACATAAATCCCAGGGTAAATTACTTCTTTAAATATGAGAGGAGCAAGGCTATGTAAGTGATAATACTGACCCTAGAAAAGGTAGATCTTTGAAGGTAGTGTTTGTTTGGGGCAGAGACCGTCAATCCCAAAGAATGTACTTTAAAAAACTCCTCCCATAACTTTTTAGAATCCCAAGTTTAGTCTTACTCTGAATAGCTACACTTAGCTTAACAACATGAGGAAGGAACCCCTGAAACCTCATGGGATTAGTCTAGATTAATATTTTCCTTCCATGGCAGGCCTCCAAAGGGAAAAAAAAAAAAAACTTGCTTGAAGAAACAGCAAGGCCAGGTCCATAGGTAGTATTCTGTCCTGGAGGCTTATACTTTGCCCAGGAGTTGTTCTGCTGCAGGTATGTTCTTTCCAGTAAGATTTCAAAGCAATATATTAATGACTTGGACTAGTACAGGTCCTGGACCACCTCTGCCACAGGTCTAGGAGCATGACATACTGGGTGCTTTGGCTATACACCAAGGCCTAAGAATGTATTCTCCTTCCCTAAATATCCCCTCCAATTTCCATCAGTATTCCCACTTTTTGTTCAAATCAGTTGCGGAAACCAGTGTCACTTTTCTTTCAGAGACACTTACATTCCAGTGTTGAGTGATTCCTGTGCACGTTGCTTTTTGTTTATCATTTTGTAATGGCTCCAGAATCATTTGAGGAAAAGTCCATGTGGTACATGACATATATCAAGCCATCCTTCTCTAAGGAGGTGGTAACCCAAATAAAACAATGCACAAAGAGGGGAGGGACTGCTGCATCAACTCATTTAATTTCTAGAGCTTCTACTAAACATATATGTCAGATCTGATGAATGTTATTTGTTGCCTTTCCTCTTCTAGCACATAATTATATCTAAGAACCGGTGTCTTGGCATATGAGCCTGGAAGGGCACTTAGCACTGAAAGTTGCCTGAAACTAATTATTTTTAGGTAGGAAAAGATACCAAGAGTCAGGCAGCAATGCGTACACTGAGAAAAGCAAAAGGAGGTGATAGCAGGGGTAGAAAGAAGGAGCAGACCCTTAAACACCACTGCAGAATGTGAACATGATGCCAAAGAGTTTACAAGTCCACAGCTAGGACCTGAGTTGAAGTATTGCTTGGGAAAATCAGTGGCAGTCAAAGATGATCACCCATTTCAGAAGAGGAATAAGGGAGCACCATAAAGTACTAGAAATGATTCTGATAATCCACCAGCTGCCCCAAGGCCTGCTCTAAACTGGTACAAATCTCTAGACCCATGTTGTCCTCTTCTCCACCCTGCATGCCTGACAAAGGAGCAGGCACAGCTGAAGCCTAGGCTACCCTGGGGGCCTGAGAACAGCAGGCAGCCTTACCAGGGTGTCTGTGCTCCAGCAGGAAACCTGTGGAATGTTTAGGAAATAAAAAGAATCAGCACACAGAAAGAGCAAAGGAAACAGCTAACCAAGGGTGAGCAAGAGATAAACACATTAAGCAATTAAGAGAAGTGGCAGTGGGCTGTAACTGATACAATGCTTGAAATAATACTTATTTAACTGTGCATGAATTAAACAGGTCATGAAGCTGTTAAAAAGGGGAACAATGAGGTGTTAAGAGCTACAGATGCATCTCTGAAACATAATTTCTCAATGGCAAGTAATAGGGGTCAGAGAGCAAGCGGATTTCCCTTTACCCGTATTCTTTGTTTCAATGTCCCTAAGAGCAGGCATCCCCAGTCCTGACTGGTTTTACTCTTAGCTTTATTTTTGCTGTATCGTTTTTTGAAAGTCTCCACCCAACACAATTTCTGTATACACTAGCTGTATCAGAAAAAACACTGTTTGCATCTCTGCGACACTTTTGCAGTATTTCCCTATTTGGCAACTCCGGTCATTAGTGTTACTTCCCATACTGAACACAAAGGGAGTTTCTTGTATTGCAGACACCCCCCCATGTGGTATCTGCTGGCAAATGCTGATTTTCAAATGTGAAAGTACTTGTTTTTTATTTTAAAATACACAGGAGAAAGCACTGCTTTCTTTGCAAAGATAAAGAACGGCACATAGCCAGTCAGTACCCACAAAAAAAACCCCAAACCCTACAATAAATACTATTGTGGCATACAACTGAAACTGCCATGCAAGTCCTCGCAGAAAACTCTGAAACACCTCTGCAGCGTAGTGTGCCACTACACTGTGGTGCACAATTAAAACTGTGGTTGCATATATTGACAAAAAGGACCCTTAATAAGAAATCTCTGATGCAGTACTGTATGGCTGCTGGCTCCACGATTAGAAGAAATTAATGCCTCAAGAAAGGTAGAAGACAGAGATGGCAAGCAGGCAGAGCAGCCGGACTTGGGGAGCTGTTCATCTGAGACGTTCTCTCAAATTCTCTTGAAGTTCTTACCATTTCTTTTCAAAAGGACTGTTTAAAACATGCCCCCTCTTTTCCATCAGCACGTTCTTCCTCCTCCCATAGGGACCTCCTACCTGCCACAGGGACTGAGGGGCACACCGTTCCCCCAGTAAAAAGGGGCATGCAGAACCCATGGCTAACAGAAAGCCCAGTGACCATGGGACTTACTGCCGCGTAGATGGAGTTTCTCCACTTTCTTCAGCTCAGAGCAGTTCAAACACAAAAAGGTCTGCCTCTTAACAAAAGACAAGGCAGAGTTTGCGTTATCCTATACACAAGAGTCCATTTACTGCTCCTTTGTAAAAGGCTGAGCCGCAAGCCGGTGCTGTTTGCTTTTGTTCTTTGATGCTAATAGCTGGGTTGAAAGAGGGATCAGCAGGGCTGCTGCCTTTGTCTGGTGCCGCCCCAGCCATCTGGGCGGGGTGGAAGGGGAAGGAGGAGGATGAAGGGGAGCAGGACGAACAAAGCAAACGTTATTGCAGCTCAGATCATTCCCGTGGCTGTAGAGGAAACATCTGAGGTATTTTTAACTCTAACCTTTTTAACAAGAAGTTTAGCAATAAGGGGAGGTGTCATTGTTGCCAAAATTGTTCTGCAATCCTTACGGCAACGTCATGAGTGCGCTTCTCTCTCCAACTAAAAGACAAGGACCTCGTGGAATTTCTATGCGCACCAGCCCTGTCAGCACACATCACCTTGACCTGAGGAGACCTGCTTTCATTCCCATCTCCATGCTCTATTCAGTCTCGTTCCTGCTTTGATGGGCTATGGACACCTGTCTTCTGTCAGCTAAACTGAGAGCCACTGACTGGAATTACACATCACAAACAGCTGCCAGGTGGAAGTACCCTAGCCTAAGTGGAAATAAGCGCCTAGAAGTGAATGGCACTCCCTTGTACTATGAGTCCCTCGAGGTCTCTGGCACACCCCACTCCGAGGCTCTCTGATCACCTGCTCTCTGAACACCAGTATGTGGAGAGAATTGGGGAGCAGGCAGAAACTGGAGAGAGGAGGAGGGCAAAAGTTGTAACACTTAGATGCCATCGTTTTGTCATAGGACATCTACTCTCAAATAAGAGGAAATCCTGCCTTTAGACAGGAAAATTACCTTATTACGAAGCTCATTCAGTCACCGACACCTAAAAAAAAAAGGCTTTTCTAAAGCAGATTTGGCTCTCATCGTGCAGCAAATATAGAAAATGGATATAAGTAAAATTTCAGTGGCAGAAGCGTGACTGGTTGGGAACTCTCAGACACTTACGTTGACTTGCTGATATATATGGAAACAGTTCAAAGACCACAGATTGATGTATTTATGGCAGCCTGGGAAATGATTCAAAAGATAGGTGATGAGCCAGCCTGGACTCCTGTGGTGTGGCAGTAAGAGACTCTGGTGACTCAGAACCAGGTCATTTCCTACTGAGCTCTGATGCAACATTTTAACAATACAATGAAGAGGTGCATTTTGGCTGAACTGGAAATCCCTCAAAATGTGATGAGAAAAGTCTTCCTTAATTTGATACTTTATCAAACAAAGTGTTAATTCCAGATGCTGATTCCTGACCTGGTCTGTTAAGGTATGATACTGCTTCGTCTCCTACACCAAGCTGTTGGTGCAAAACCATACAGACACCTTGTCTTTCTCTTCAGGACACAGTGGTTCAAAACCATCTGGGAGGTTTACGGCAACTTAAAAAGAAATAGCATTTACACTGTATAAACAGTTTCTATCAACAATTTGCTTGGGTAAAGATGGGCTCTGTAGTGAGACAAATTCCAAGCATTAGCATAATATTCCTGTAGTGCCCAAGCTCACCCAGGAGGTAGGCACCTCGTATTTCTGGTTAACTAGGTCAAAATCTTGGCTGCAT